TATATATATATATATATATATATATATATAGGGGAAATTGGTTCCGGTCTCTTAGAATCGAGAGGACACCACCTGTCGCTCGGCCGTGTCTCTCTCTCGTCGATCTCGCGGACCGTGCGGCGTTCATCCTGACGAACTGATCGCGATGAGAGCGAACGATTCGACGCGTGGGAGAACCGGAAAAGGAAAGAGACGTATTCGAGGAGAATACTCTCGTTGGGATATTTGCTCAATAATAACTGTAAACTGTTTCTAGTAGTGTAACAGGATATTTTTTCGAGCGGTTCTTCATTGTTTACGGAATGTAATAAGTTTGCTGGTACGTTTAAAACTTGCTTGCAACTTTCCTACGTTGATTACGAAAGATGAACTTATATTCCCTGCTTAATGCCCCGTTAATAATTCGTAATTGAAGCAGCTGTTTGCCGACGGAAATACACGACGCTCGTTAAGCAACAAATAATTCGGCCATTGGTATCCTCCCTGCTAGCGAAAGTAAGGCGAAGTACGACGAAACGTGTCCCTCTCTATTTATAACGGAGGGTTTTCGTTAGCAGTTTCCATGAATCGGAGGCGGGAAGCGCGCTGCCATCTCATTGAAAGCGCGTGAATGAGTTTCGTCGGAAGCGCGCGGAATGGAAGCGTGGCCACCTCCACCGCGCGGCACCCGTTCGCCAATCACGTTTCTGTCAGCGTTGCAACGCCGGTCGCATCGGCCACGATATCAGGAGAAACGGCCGCCTCCGTCGAGGAACAGTGGCCGTCGTTGTTCGCCTAATGGGCCGCGCATTTCTCCGTCCGCTTTCACAGCCAGCTGATTGCGACGCGACTCGGTCGACGCGAGCGCGGGAGAGAGCAGGATACCTCATACCACGTGCTCCGGCTACCGTAACACCATTTGCCCGACTAATGACTCGTGGACGTTTCAGCTACCACCTCAGTCGGCCCTTCTTCTTCCACGCGGCTCTATTCCCGTTATTAACTCGCGTACAAGCGAATCCACCGTATCGCGAACCGTTTGTGTTCCTTCCCCTCTCCCCTCTCCGCGCGGTGCCTAACATTCTCCCATTTTATTCACGTCGTTCGATACACGGACATTATAATCCGGTCGGCTTATCGTTCAACTCTCGTTCGACGTCGTCCACCACGTGTAACTATCCATCGTTCGTAAGAGGGAACGGTGCCGATTCTGGTTTTGCCGATTTTTCGAACCGATAGGTCGCGGACGGAACGATTAGACGAGCTTTTCAACTCGCGATTCGATAAAAACGGTAATGGGTGGATAACTTTATTCGATGGAAGGAATATAGTATGGTTCGATTAGAACGTGACCGGATAATCGGTAACAAATGAGACAACTTTGAATCGCGATTCCTTATCGGCCGTGTAGTCAGTTCTAATAAGATTATAGAGCCGATTCGTTCGAGAACGACGACGATGCGAGGGAAACCGGTGATTCATTAGCGCGATTCGTACGATTAGATTCGCATACCACACGGCCACGGTTTATCGAAGACGCTTGATTAACCTCGACGTCTCGGTCTTGGAAGTGACACGCGACGGGGGACGCCCCCGTGCAGGAAACGATTCCGTCCCATCGTGAACGTGGAAACGGCGTTTTACACCTAGGCACCGTGACACCGCCAATTATTCATCGCGTATGGTTGCGAGTAACAAATCGCCAGTCAAGTGGCAACACCGTCGGCAGCTTGCGCAAGCGGGGCGAGAAGACAAGATCGAGCGGAGAATAGAGAGAGAGAGAGAGAGACGTTAACCGGTGGAAATGAGACGAGCGGCTCTCACGGATGAGGAGAGAGAGAGAGAGAGAGAGAGAGAAAGGGTGAGCGTGGACTCCTCCCACGTGCGTCTAGATGCGCGTCGCCAGAACGTAAATTTAGCACTAACGCATTATGCACGCTCGGCCTGTGCCGTATCGGGCGTACGATACCAATAACAGTGGCTTCTTCGTGCGCGTTATCTCGAGAAACGGTTGCACCGTTATCCAGGATTAGAAAAATATGCCTTCCAATTGCTTTGGAGGTAAAGGAACGCGTGTGAGCGATTCGAAAATCCAATACGGGGATCGAGATGGATGGCCGATGAGATGAGGCGGCGAGCAGAAGGGGAGCGAAAATAATAGAGCGGCCCATTGAAAATAATCGTAAATCAACACTAAATAACGAGCGCAAGGTCGTCGGTTCTTAGTTTTTAGCGGGACCGCCGGTGGCAGAAATCTTAATTAGTCCTTTGTGTCCCTCCCTGGCTGCCTCGCAATGGATTTGATTAATGCTCGTTTCACCGTGGCACCCTTTGTAAGAGACGTCTACCACGCTTAAGAAAACACAATTTACACCGGTGATCGGTCTTGGTGCGCGTGCTACGGCTCCTAGAATTTGAGCGTGGCATTGAAATCGTTTATGATTTAGAGATCGGCACGAGCGCGCGAAAATTGAGTCGGTGTAAACGGCGCGTCACGTTGCGAACGTAATTATGGCATTTAGTCGTTGCGGCTCCCTGTCACAGTGATAAATTTCACGCGATCAATGGATCGCGGGGAGTAACGCGTCTAGGATTAACGTTTTTTGGAACGTTTCGCGGAACTCGGCGACACGGCTCGTCGCAACGTTTCGATAAAATACTCTTACTTACTTTTAGGTATTTTTAGTCCATTACACGCTGTCAAGTGGAAAATATCAAAAGGGGCATCGATCTCGCGCGAATTTAATTTACCCACCTCCGGTCCAAGACCAAACGTATTTTCATCTGTTATTTTCCATCCGCTTGCTCCGTGCAAGCAGTAGTTTGGTCCCACAATAGTAACACGAAGACAAATGTTAGCGATAAAGTTACGCGAATTGATGTGCGATGTACAGTTACTACCTTCCCGCTTTAGCGATAATTCGTACTATACTTAAACTGTAATAGTTGTTTTACCTTCAAATTCCCCACTATCGTGGCAATCTTCTTCTGGTTGCGGAATTCCGTGATATCCGGTTCTCGAATCGGAGATATTTTAATCTCCGTTTCTAGTTATCAATGGGAATGATTTCGCGTTCCAATAAATGGAAAAGTAAACACTATTTTTTTTTCTCAGGAAAGAAACATACATATGATGAAATTCACTGTATCGAGAAGTATATTGAAGAAAAAATTTAATGAAATTACGTTAATATCTAGTTTACTTACGATCGTACGTATGCTTATTCACCGAGTTCTCGATTTTAAATTTTTCCTTTTTTCGATTGGAAATAGTTGCGATAATATAATCACGACGTTTTTGATGATTCGATAAAAATGCAGATGCTCGTTGATTGGCTCAAGATGCCATTAACCCGAGCTAATTTATGGGATATCATTTACTACTTCGTATGTAATTATCTCTTCAAATTCAGATTTCACATGTTCGAGAAGAAATATTGAAATCGAAAAGTGTCGGCCCCATTACGCGGTTTATCGGAACGAGCTTCGATAAACTAGATTCGGGAAAGAATAATTACCTTTGGCACTTGGTCGAGTAATCAGTGCCAAGGTAATAAAATAGGTGTTACAAGCCTCTCGTCACGTAAATTAAACGGTAATCGGTGGGTGTATCGATAATTCGGCACGCGGCGATGCGAGTAAATATTTATTATGTAAACGTTTACGAACGTGTTTGAACTTATCAAAGAAGAATTTCTCGTTGCTAACGGTTTACATTTTATATTACGGTTAAAGAATTACATCTAATTCCAATCAATGATACGAAACACGCGAGATACGGATAGAATACGTATCGATGGTTGATACTCGAAAATTTTGACGATGTATTTCATAGATCGTAGCAACGAGTCGTATAATATACGATTATGATACACAGTAAATCGAATCACGATGCACGCATTTTTCTCAATCGATTTTCCACTTACTTGGAATAATTGCGTCGAAGACAGGATGATTAACTGATCAATGTGACTGTATGGAATGTAAGAAGATCTATTTCAATCGTTTTCTTCTCTCGCAAAAAGTTATCCTCGAACTGTGTTATATTATTGCGTTTGATTTCTAGTTAAAAAATTCGATCCATGATCACAAAAAATGCACAACACTCATCCAATCGAGTAAACTAATAAACATAATTATGTAACAGTTCGTTCAATAGACAGTAATGATACGATTAAATATAACATAGACACCTGTGTGTAATAAATATTTATAATTTCGAAATAGAGAAACACGAAAAATCGGAGAGATAATTGTGACGTTTAACCTTTAATATTATCGCAGAAAATAATATTGCATAATTGTGTGATGTAATCGATTAAATTTCATATTATTAGCCAACATGATTCATTCGCGATAGACTATCTAAATATCATATATATAACATCGTGATGATAACCTCATTTTTTAAGTATAAATGATGATATTCCGATTTTCATAATTATTTTTGTCTGATTTAAATTATCTCTTTTGCAAAAATTAAGAGTAAGACTGAATGTGATATAATTACTATTTATCATATAAACCAGACATCAAACATTAACAATCGATTTACTTTACGATTACACTTTCACGAAGAAAAAATTTCACTATGCACGTTTATTTCTGCTATTGCGGAATGTAAGCTATGACAATTTAGTATTAAAAATTCACCAATCAAGGTAAAGATTAGAGAAAGTTTCAATCGTTTATAACCAATGAAAAGTGGAATACACATACCGTGACGTCATAGGCACCTGTTGTTTCGAAGTTTACGATAGGATGGCGCAGTTGTACTTCGTTAATATATACTGCGCATGATCATGTGATCAGTCGAAGTCGATACCTCTGAATTTTCTGTGTCGTTTTGTCGAAATGTGAAATTAAATTTAGATTGTGCAGTTTTACCTTGAATTTTGACTTTATTAATATCGTACAGTGTGTGAAATATATTATTAATAATAATACAGTTTGTGTGTAGTTATTTCAAGACATCATTTAGTAGCATTCGAGAAATTCATAGGATTCAATGAAAATTAAGAGCACGACATTTTGTCGTTTCGTCAAAGATACATCAAAGAGACATCATAATGGTATGTTTGAATTTATTTTTATTAATTATATGCGTATACTTCCAAATATACATATATTATACGTGGATGATAAAAGTTCATTAAATTCTAAGGTCATGTTCTACTATAATTGCATAATAAATTTTAATTTCAACAATTACGTATATAGAATGTTATAAAGTGCTATATAATAATTTTTTTTCTCGTACGTAAATTGCGTCGAATACAGCGTAGTTCGTAATTCGTACAGCAAAATATAAACACAAAGTGGTAAAGGGAAACGTGACACGCGATTGTTATTATTTATACAGTGATCAGATAGAATGAATTATCTTTCGTGAACATTCGAACAAAGTGATACATAAACAATACTCTACCGAATCGCTAGAAAAAGAATTCTTTCGTGCGTCGTTTCGTATCCATTAGCATTTCATGTTCTTATCTTCATGTTCAGTCTTCTTTTTTCATCTCAATCTATTATTTCGTTTCGCTTTTAATTTTTTCGTTTCACGTACCTTTATACCTCCATCGTCATATTGATTTATCTCAAGCAACAGGTCTAACCTCTTCTAAGAACAAAATACGTCGACTTCTCTTTTCGGAATTTCACCGATTAGAAATTCCATTTTTTTTTTTTTTTTATTTAGTTTCCATTCTACGATAGATAAGAGTGATCGTAAATCGTTTTCTTCGCCCTCACGGCACACTAGCCACGCGTCGCCGATCAGAGAAGGCTGCACAGTGTACGGTCTATTTTGTCCGATCGTCAGGAACCGTGCTATTTTCGATTTGTTCAACGCGCTCCATGCTATTCTATTCCGCGAGTAGCGCGACTCGCGCGCACCGTACCAGCTTCCTGCTGGCCACTAGCGTGTCGCATCTCATCCCTAGGGGCCCTAATGCATTCTCGGTTGAATGGAGAGCGTGGAAGCGATTTTCCTCGGCTGCTCAATAGCGTCTGTTCGTTTTGCTCTAGACATGGCGTGGCGCATCACGGTACGCGGCCAACAGGAGAGGACGACGGCGACGACGTAACATACGTGCTGCTCCCTACGCCGCCAACTCGAATAATTCACATTGTCCGTCGGGAATGGTAGGCAGTCCAGTGGTTTCTTTTGCCAATTATTTCGGGACACGGTGCTGCGAGGAAAGAAAGCCCCGCGGGGCAGAATAGATCGCGCGATTTTCTGCGGACTAATTTAGCTGCGCGCGCGTTCAACCGCCACTGTGCATGTGCTCTCTTTTTCTCTGTCGCTTTCTCCCTATCTTTCTTTCCTTTTCTGTCACAAAGGTAGGCTGTTTCTTTTCCAACTCTATCCTGCCATTTTTTTTTTCCTCTTCACGGTAACGCGTCGTTCTTTTCTCGTCGACTACGGGTCGACGAATCCTCCTGTTTCTTTTCCACGATAGTAGCCAATTCGATTATTCCTCTCATCCATATCGGTATTTCTCCTTTCTCGTGTAACTATAGTATAGTAATCTTAGTGACGTGTTACGTGGATCATCGTTATGATATCGTTGCATTCGTTCAAGATAGATAGATACAAAATGATGACGATCCCTAATAATCGGTCGATCGTTACCTGTTAAATATGATAGAAGGATTGATGCGATGTATAATTGCATCTTTGTATTTTTAATTTCCACCATGGTGATGAATCTAACTTTAGAAAATCTATTTGTTTTTTTTTTTTCTTGCTCACACGTCCACGCTATAGACCTACGGAAATTTCTATCAATGTCGATGAATCTATCGGATAACGGCAGATTAATGATTGCTAGATCGACTCGATTCGAGGCAATTGGCGCTTACCTGTTTCCTTTTTAACGATCCTATATTTCTAATCTGGCCTGGTATTCGAAGTTTCGACCGAGGTGTTCGTTTTTTAAAAAAATCTTTGCTTTCTTCCCAAAGTAGGTTTACGCACGTAATTTTCTTGTCCATATTTGCTTCTCTTTACTTTCTTGTCATTTATTAGCCATTTGTCATTAATCATTCCCATCTTCCTTTGCTCGAAAAAAACGTTCTTTCAACTCGATGCAAGTTCTTCCAAAGATCTTGTCAATCTTGTTTCTTCCGTAAAACGTGGAATTCTTCGATCGTAGTAGGTTGGCAGTAAGTTTGCTATTCCCAACGCATGGAGGAATGCTTCAATCGTCGGTCGTTCGCAATTTTCGATACGCTTTCGCCTAGCGAATTAATGCTCGCGGTGTTTCAGGGATCGCGCACGCCATTCATAACGCGAATGTTATTAGTGCAGATCGCAGTCAGATATACCGGCTGGTCGGTAGTGTGGTTAAAATAAAGATGATGAATGCCTGGCCGTCCCTCGCCGCGGTGTTGGATGTAGATTAATATCGACCCTCGCTCGCTCGCTGCACACCAAACCTTTCCCTTCCACCTAATATCCGCGGGCACTACGTACCCCATACGTGTTCACCGAGTATCCTGCAACCTATCGGCGACGTTCTTTCCCACTAGATTATTTCTTCCAATACTCCTTACTCGCGAGCTCTTTACCCTTCGGGAAACTGATGAAGAACTAGGCGCAAGGTTTGCGTAGTCGTAGCTTTATTCGATGATAAAATTCACGTGTATGGATATTACTTTCTCACCATAATCTGATAACTTATTTCATAAACAGTCGCATATACGGGATAATTTATGCGAACGAAGCCGAATTAGAATAATTTTCCAATTGGTCGGGATACGTTGAAGAAGAGTCGTGCACTCATTAGGCAAAGATCAACTCGTGGCTCGGTTCATTTGCGTATATTTATAATTGAGATTATCTATAAAAAAAANAAAAAAAAAAAAAAAAAAAAAAAATAATATATCTAAGCAGACATCCTGTGTTTTTCCAATATTCCAATGATCCAATCGCTGTAGGCACCGAAATGCAATAAGCGTTAGCGGAAAATTTCCATGGTAGTGGTGGACGTGTCGTAAGTGGAGCGGTAATTTTAATATAATCAGGATCAGGGGATTCGATCGACAACGCAAACTATCTTGTTCGTTGAATCGCGGCACGATCTTTCGCTGTTCTCTCATTGGAGAATGGTTGGATGCATCTGACAAAGGTGTACGCGTCGGCCGACGGCTGGCTGTATCGCTATATTACTAGTCGGTGCATCGGCAGCATGTGCAATCGCATTATACGAGTCCCGGCTAGTGCGCGACATCATTTTAACGTGCACGGTTCGTTAAAACATTAAAGACGACAGTTCGGAGTAGGCACCTTCCGGAGTGCGTTTCTTTTTCCTAATCGGTTTTTTTCGAATCTCAGTGACTCCCATTTATCGCGTTATTTTCACGTATATCTTTTCAACGTATAAAGAATACGATAGGATCGAAAACAATTTTAAAATTTGTAGCATTTTTCTTATCAAGATGATTTCGTTATCACGTATATTGTTTGTCGATGTATTCATATAGGGGGAAAGTTTTATCGGAAATTTGATTACGATGATTAATTACTACGTACGTATATATGTAATCGTCACTGAAAAGTAGAATAAAAAAACGAGTCCAATTACATCCAAAATATAACAATGCGATATTGTCTGCCGTTTATTTAACAACTCGTTCGCGTAACAAAAATTCATCGTTTATTTTCTTTTTTTAATTTTTTTTCGAAAGTGAAAATTTTCGATCGACTCAACGGAATTACTAATTACGTTTAAACGTGGACGACTGTAGGGAACGGTCGGCCAATTTGGCGCGCACATTTTTCGTCCGGCATGAAAATGATGTTTAACGAGAAGAGGGCGTAGTGCTCATTTGTCAGATAAAAAAGGAAAGAAAGAGAGGAAGAAGAAGAGGAGGGGGATAACGTTGAAACCAGGTTTCTTCCACGATTAAAGTGGCTGTTCGTTCGATGGTTGAACAGGCGGCAGTCGCGGTTGCGTAGGCAGCAGTCACGAGCGCTCGAAGGACGGACGATAATGTCCTGGCGACACTCGAGATGCGTTCCAGATCCTGTTCGCGTTATCCAAGCAGGAATGAATGTTCCTCCTCACTTGACAGAAAATGGCACGAAAGCCCTGACTAGCCTGTGGCTATCGTCTGCTGCTCGTCGATTGTAATTCATAACGGAGATCTTCAGATTAGATTTCCGCGATGGATGCAACACTGTAGTTCGATGAATTCGCAACCGTATCGTACATCTAAATGGATGACAAATACGAAGTGTTTACGCACAATGTCAATCGTAGCCAGTTAATTGCGCGTCCTTGTTAATTGGAGAAGATTTATAATACTGCTCGCGCACTTTGTTACATCCTCTGAATCCTTACCCAAGTCGATCCATTACCCAAGTGATCTATTACGCGCGAGAGAGGCTAGAAATCCAATCGAATCGATCGATCGTATGTAACCGAAACCAACGAATCGATTCCGATTTTGCGTAAATATTTTTACCAATTGTTTCTCGCCCCTGTTACAGCTGGTTGGCCACGAGCGAATCTTATCACGATTCGAGCACGACGGTGACGCGTCTTATTAAGCGGCTCGCGAATGGACGTCCCATTGGCTTTTTGTTATCGAACATCGTCCGTCCGTGATCCTCGTACTTGTAAACCCATTATGATCGGACGTATCACCACCGTAAAAACTGGTCCCGTCGTTTATTATCGAATTACCACCAACGACTATCTAAATTATGCAAATCTTTGGACCGATCTTGGATCGATTTCTCAAACTCGATGATCTATCTTCCCGACGATTAACTCGTTCGATGAGTTTTGTCGCTAATTTTAATCGCCATTCCCGTTACAATCCATCGATGAAATTAATTAACGGCGCACGACGAGATGCTAACGACCGAACGAGGTTGAGCCGCGAAATAGATGGATAAAAGGTCGAGGAGGGGTGAAAGTACGTTTAAATCGTTCCTCGGGGAATTGGCCGGGCCAATGGCGGAACATTAAAGAAAAGACGTTTTAATCGGCGAAAATTTGCGAGTTCGCGAGTCCACTGGCCCCACGAGTTAATACGCGAGAGACATTCTCAGACGGCGTCG